TCACTTCGGAATAAAAACGTACATTACAATAGGAGTAAATGAAAAAAAAAGTTTTTCTCATTCTTTCTTTTCTTGCTTATACATTTTCTTCTTTCCTGAAAATTTATTTGTTGCAATAGCACTCTGTTCATCCCGAAAAAGTTTTTCGCAGTACGAAATAACGACTACCTTCTCTCCGAAGGACTTATGAAAAAAGAAAAGGAAACATTATTTGGAAATATGTAAATATATCTGTAGTAGATTGGTCGACTTTTTAAAGATCAGTAAAAACAAATGAATGATTGATTACTATTAAATTTTTCCATAAACTTTTTTAAACAATAAATCAATGGTATATTGATTTTTACCTTAGAAAATATAAATACAAAATTGAAAAAAATTGAAGAAAAAAATTTTTTACTCACAAATATAGAGGAAAATTAGGCTGAAAGCAGCAATTGTTTTCCCCCAAGAAATAATTATTTAAAGATACGGAATTGAAGTAAATATGCCAACATAAGTGAAACAAAGAAGCTGATTGCTATTCATCACTGTCATTTTCAAAGAGGCTGTTTATAGTAAATTAAATTAAAAAATATAGACTTATTTTTTGTTCATATTCGTCGGCGGCAAGTTGTCGATAACTTTGATGACTTTGTACTCAAGAATATTTGTTGATAGTGGATTTTTTTAAGAAGCAGAATAGAGAAGTATAACACCGTCTGTTTCAGAAACTTTGTTGCTTTACTCATGATAAATCTCTTGGCAGAAAATTTTAATTTAAATAACTCTACCCAACTTCGCTAAACAATGAAAAACAGTTTGAAAAGTGAACAGTTTAGAAAACAAAAATGCAAAGAAGAAGTTTGAATTTAGATACTTGACTACAAAGAAAAATATTTGTCCTAAATCAACACTCAAAATAAAATGATATACATCAGTATCAACATTCGTGATAAAACATACATCATAACAACATATCTTTTTATTAAATTAAAAGATAAAAATCAATTACTGATACAAAATTATAGCTACAAGTAATAAATTTAATTACTTATCAATAAAGTAGTTTCAATAAAATAATTAGTAACTTTGTCATTAAAGTTGGAAGACATCGAGAGTACGTTGTTGATTCAACGTAAGATTAAAGTGCAAAGTTTTTGGAAGAAAGATGAAAACAAGGAAAGACAGTAAAGGAGTTGACGCGGCGCCATAAAATGGTGGAGAGAGTATGTTGGTAGGTGATAATGTCTTGAATGTTGGGTTTCAATGGTGCCTTTAGATGTAGTATGCGAGAATCACAAGGAGTGTGTTTCAGCAAGTGGTGGCATCTGTGCTCAAGTGCAAAGTGTCTGACATGAGGAAAAAGAACATACTATGCCTTTGGGGTATCAGAAGCAAGATGACCAGCAGAAAAAGACGGAAATATAAAGAATGACAGAAAGCTAGTGAAAAAAAAAGAAGTTTCAAGAATGCAACTGTACTGATAAAAAGATTTAAAGCTCATTGATTCATTGCATTTCATAGTGTTGGCGATATATATATTTAAAACATAATACCTCCCATTATTTTTTATTTCTCAACTTTTATTTACTAACAGTGTGGGAGTCTTCATTAAATGTATTCGCGAAAAGAGTATGTATGTTTGTGGAAGAAAGCTAATGAATTTCAAGAGATAAAAGTATATATAACTAAATGCGAATATATTCTATTTGTATGTGAGGGAAAATTCTGAGAAGGCGCATCGACTCTTGAAGAGACTGCGACCTTGCTGCGAGAGAAAGATGCCAATTGGTAGGGAGAAAAAACAAGTGTGTTGGTGAGTGTGGGAAGAAGAAAGAAGTGTCAAACGTAAGGCATGTATGAATAAAGATTAAGAAAAGGACAAACCTATAAGTGCGTTCGCGTAAGACCGGAGATCGCACGAATGTCTTGCTGCAATCTTCTTCATGTCTGTCGGAACGTTGACTAAAACTTGAAGTCGTGTCACGTCCGTTCGTGTTTCGTGCTGCTGAAGAACGGGATCGATAAGACACGGCAAGAAGTCAGGAAGAGGAAAGGATGAAGGAGTAAATTATCTCGCGCGTGTCCAACGATTGATCAATCTCATGGATTTGGACTACTCAAGTCTCTTTGTTCTGAATGTTCGTGACTAGTGGGGTCTTAGTGTGACGTGAATTTGGTTCACGAGTGATGATCAATGATGGGTGAATGCTCCTTTAACATTACCGCCTATTTGGCACAGTAACCGCATACACAAACCAATTTTGATAGGTCTATCAACTGTGAGATCTCAACTCTTGCTGATCTTCATGAATAAACAACGTGCGAACAACGTCGATAAGAAAAGTACGTGAAGCCTCGTGAACCTTCACATCCTTCACATAATCTGTTACTTTAAGATATCATGCACTTCTTTTTAATAGTTTTTTTATTTACTCTCTTAAGGTGTATTATGCATACGAAGCAGTTGAAGTGAATTTTACTAGGGGCGTGCAACCGGTGGCCACCGATCGCGAGGTTAATAGTGAGTAAAACAGCCTAACGATGGATTGATCAATAGTTCATAGTCAGTAGCTATACAAGGGATATTCGTTCACGTTTCCGATAAATCTATTAGTTCTATTTTCTGTAGATTCCACACATAATCATTGAATTTAGTGAATTTAATTTATTTACTAATACCATTTTCATTATTGTTGTATTCAAAAGCATTTCACAAGTACTCTAGATACGTTTATTCAATGAAATTGAATGTATTCGTATACCAAGAAGCTATTAAATATGTACACATCTCTGCTATTGTAACACAAGAGTTGTATCTGTATCAATGTATCTGCTCGATGATGAATAGTGATGACAAAACAAGATGAGTGAAATGTCAACCGAAAAGGGATAATATTCATGGAATCTCATTACCAGAATGACAAACTTTGTAGACCCAACAAAAATCTCTGAATACCATGAAGAATGTTATAAGCACAAGTGGTACTAAAAATTTTAAGCACACTCTAGATTATTCTAAAGAAAACTCTACTGTCTACTCTCCATTATTTTTACATCTTAGCACTTTTTTTTATTAAATTATTGTACATTTTTTTGTTATGTATTCCTTAAGGAAAAATATTTCTTTTCATTTTTTCGGCTAGCATATATAGAGATATGTACATATAGAAAACACATTGGGGATCGTTTTGCTCTCGAAAGTGAAATATCTCTCGACGTTATGAATTAAGAATCAAGTGAATTTGTGCGCTGGGAATGACTTGCGATTGAAATAAAAATTGCAGAGAGCGAAGAGAGAGTAAAAGAGTATTTGAAGAACAAAACGACAAGAAAATCGAAGACTCGATCGGGTATTCGACAGCCATGCTTTCAAATAAGAAGTTAAATTGATAGAGCTTGAATAAAAAAAAAGCAACAGTCCCACGAGTTACGACTTATACGAGTGTATTTTACATATTTAAATTGAAAACATCGATTTCTTCGTTTCAGGGATTAACAGTCATAGTTGAAAAAAATTATTTAAGTTTTCAAGTTGCATCAATTGATGTTATTCGATCAATTGATTTAATTTGAAATAAAAAAACTAACTCTCTTCTAGAGAGATAGACACTTGAAAAGTTTACTTCGCTAATAAGACCAATCAAATGAATCCTTCAACATTTCCTTCATACTGTTTATCATTCTAACACACGATCTCAACAAATAGAGACGTCAGATGAGAACGAAGCGCGGGTGAGAAATAAAATGAGAAAATAGACACCTGCTCTTCACCTGGTCATGATCAAGTCGACCGGATATACGTTATTTAGACATCAATACTATAAAGTTTATATATATTCAATATTTGCTTCTGTCTGATCAGCGTAAAAGTATTCTCGTATTTCATATGGTCAAGCAATGATATCAATTATGCAGGATATGGTAAATATAATATTATAAGTAGTGTACACTAAGTTTATTTCAAAGACTGACGATGCATTTGTTGGCAGATAATATATCCACCAACCTTGTGGTTAGCGACAAGTTTTACAACATACAGTTATCTTCAGGTCGGTATAAGTATGTATATGTATATAGATTCCGATTAATTATTCGCGTACATAGTCTCGTCGTCCAAGAAAAGCTCGACAGTACTCTACCCTCGTGAATAATTTCCTTCCGTGTCGTTTTCGTTCTTCCCCGCTTCGATGCTATTTCTATCGAGTAGCGAATCAAGAATATATCGCAGAAAGAGCACGACAAAGAGCAACGTATTACTCTCACTACCGACGGACAGCTGTAAATATTCAATAATTCTGGGAAAACTGATTACTAAGTATATAGGAGCTGTGGCTCAACTCTGATGCATGCCATGTTTGACTTGATTATATCGAAGATCGATAGATCCAAGTGAACATAGATCCAAGTCTTTGTCACTTAAATCTCTCTCACAACAACTGAGCACTAACTCTTTCTCGGTGTAAAATCTTGAATGGAAGCTCCAAAGTGTATGCAGGCAAGAGATAGAATAGTGACAACAGTCAACTAAAGAAGCTGACAAAGTTTTCTACTGCTAAGATAATCAAGTAAAGATGGAGTGCAGAATTAAAATTTCGTGAAAAGCTGAGTCGAAATTCAAAACTAGACGGAAATAAGAGAGAAAGGACGAAGGAAAAGTGATAGAGAAGTGGGGCTACTCAACGTTACCGTCAAGATCAACGAAGACACAATTTTCTCTTAGCAAGTATCTTAAGCTTTCATTTCATATCTCCAGACCACCCCAGTTGTCCTATAGCAATAGACCAGGCGAAAGAGAAACACCCTTTTTCAGCTCAACTTTTCGACAAAATTATTTCACTAAAATGCAGACTATTATGACTTCTTGAAAGCTTTTCAAGTTACCAGCAAAGTTCATCGTTGTTACAAAGTTTTTGTTGCTCTACTTGGCTTATTATAGAGCAGTAACTCATTACTTAGCATTTACGAATATCAAAGTTCACGAGGATAATAAGTAAAAAAAATCTGTTCAATCTTACCTTGTGAAACAACTCCTAAAGTGACAACGACAATGAAAACCTTTATTTTAACAGCCTCCATTTTCGTTATATCCAGAATATGGTGTAGATTATTGACCTTGTAAAATAAATCCGCTTATCACCAACACACTATCATTGTGTTAAACACACTGCTGCCTCTACGGACAGTCGAATAACACTAAAAACCAATTAAATACACTGTACATTCACAGTAAAGCACGTTATATTCAATAAAAAGTTAATATATAAGTATCCAATATAACAACAGATTAGTTTGATTTCTTATTTTTCTTTTTTTTGAGTTGGAGTTACCGAAACTTAATTGCTAGTCATTCAACTCTAATTTTTCAAATTCTGAGACTACAAATTTCCAAATAAATGTCAAAACACCGGTCGATACACTGTGTTTATGTTTAGGGCATTGCATTCTATGAAATGTTTTGTTTTGATTCTCTTATTTAGAGATAAAATATGTCTGTATTATTACTAGCAAAATTATCCTGTCAATAATCCGATACACAAGTATTATATTTTATTATACTGTGCATCATAAATGCATCCAATTCTGAATATCATTCAATACATAATTATTCACTGATATTAACTCACTGTCGTACTCCAATAATTAATCGAAATACGTATTTAACTATTTCTACTTGCATTCAATTGTTAAAAAAAATATAAACTAGTTAATTGTTAACTATTGTAGTAATAAAATAAAACGTTCACGATTGTTTGTAAACACTCATAGGAAATGTTTACAATAATGACACTCTTATGATATTAATCAAGTGCACCAGCTAATTATTATCGCATAAACATAATTTTAAATAGTTCTTAATCACAGTTATAAACGTAATCTGTGATAAACGTTAATTTTTATAGAGAGCACCATACAACGTTTCTTACAACACGACGGTCGGCTCGCGACTGACGCTGAGATTCGGACGCGGCGCCACGCGCCTCACTCTACAAACTCGGCTATTTTCGTTTGACTTCGGGCGCAGACGTACAAATGCCTACGCGCGCGCATTTTACGATGTACTCGTCAGCCTGCGTTGATGTCGAAGGGTTGAGTGGCAGGATTACATCGACGTAGGGATGAATTTCTCTCTACAATAAAGAGGGTACTGGCAGCATCAACAACGCTCCGTTGTTTTATATTCCAGACTCCTCACTATTCCATTCACTCTTCAATACTTTTACGATATTTTCCGAATCTCGAATAACAAAATATTATTATTTTACAACACATCATATTACTAACAATGTTTAGCTTTAAATAACAATTTAATATCTGTTTAATATTTATTAAAGTCTGGATATTGATTGGCGAAAACAATGCTTTTTAAATGGAATGAAGTTGACGTAATAATTACATATTTTTTTATTGTTAATAAAATAGTACTGCCAACGATCTAAAACAAGGATTCAATTTGTGATTGTTCTTTAGAAGAAAAATGAATATCTTACGTTATATTTTATGTTTTATAAAAGAATTTCATTTTATATACTTCTGTTTTATCTGTTAAAATATTAATACAACCAGTTTGAAAAAAAACTATGAGAACACTAGACCTAGATGTTGACCTTTAATACTTGATAACATGAAATGTTTTTCTATGAAAGTAACGTTTTTTTATAAAAAGAATTTTCGTTTATTTTAAACACTTTTCTATTTCTCATAAATCGTATAAAATATTGTTGTCTAGGCTGGTATGGTGGTTGTCCCTAGGCCATTCGTCGAAAAGGTCAGAACCCGGCAGACGATCATATGGCCATTTACCTCAGCTCTTGTTACAACTGGTAAAAAATATACCATATGTCAGCTGATTTTTTAAGGAAAGTATGCTAGATTTTTCAAGTATATAATATTATTCATTTTATATTATATTTTCTTTTTTATAAACTGACATATTGAATTGATATATCTTCAAATATGTTTATTCAGAGACTATCAATTTTTCTACCAAAATTTTTTGTTTTTCCAATAATCACACAACTTTAATTAAGTTAATTTATTATGATTTAAACTAGAAAATTTATATTAATTTTTGAAAATCATTATTTTTAATGAATACTGGTGTAAGTGAGGTATAATTACTTCAAATAATATAAATACCATGACAAAACACCCTAATGATTGTCGTGAAAGGTACCGCTGATCTAATGTACGAGATCTATCTACAATAGGTTTTCATCTTGGATTTGAAATAATAAAAATATTAAAAATTGACTTCTAAATAAACAGACAATGACTAAAGATTATCAATCATAAATCGTATTAAAAACGTAGATATAATGTATCATATAAAATACCCTTGAACTCTTGTAGAATTACTTGAGTGAAGATTTATTATAAAAACAACTATTTCTAATCAAACCAGCACTAGCTATTTATAAATCATTGACTTTAAATTGTAACTTATTGCTAATCACGTGGATCGTGAGATCATTAATCGTTGAAAAATTGAACAAACATCGTAAAGAAAATGATTCTTTTGATGTTTTTGTTCGCACGCTCATTTAGACCGATGAACATAATTCCCGTGAAATATAATTTTGTGTTATGTCCTATCACTTTTTATCTCGTTGATAAATTCCTTTCTAGACTCTATTGTCCCGAATGCCTTTCCCTTTAGGCGTATACATGTATGTTTATTGCAAGGACCTTGAAGCTGCAGGTTACTCAAGAGGGATTAATCGGGAACATTGGCTTTAGATTCTACTCTCGCAACCTACGATCATTTATTTCCAGGTAGACGTCCGATGCTGAGTGATTATTAAGAGTTTGGCTAAAGGGGTGAATAAATTTGTTTCTTCGACCGCCCACATGGAAGAATTACCTCGGTTGGTTCATGATAATTTCTCTGATCTTTCTTTGGTGTTATATTGTTTGTGCAGCTCATCAATAGTAATAAATTGGAAAGAAAATAAACGAATGAATGAACTGAAAGAAAATGCAGGCAACTTTTTCGGTACGTTTCAAGTAAAGGGAGTTATGATGCTATAATAAACATTAGTTTCACGTAATGCACGGACTATGAAGTTTTATTTCTTCCAAGTGTGACGTATACTACTCAAAATAAAGGTACACTTTCTTTCCCTCATATCATTCATTGTAACAAAGTATTCCATTATAAAACGCAGTCGTTGTGCACCTATAAGCTTCGTATATATTCAGAAAAGTCAAGAATCCATGACGAAATCACGATCCAAGTGGCAATAAAGGCAAATGAAGGGAGTTCCCTAAGGAGGGTGCTAGGTACAAGAAAAAAGAGTGTTGTACATGAAGAAAGAAAGTCACTCAGTAGAAGGAAACACAATAAATAAAAAGTAGTAAAAAATATGGTGGTTTCGGGAGCCTATCGCACCCTTAAGTGCCTTGGCTCCCCTTGGTCTTCTGCAAAGCACTTCCATACATTACAATGTCAGAATGCTGAAAACCCAAGTAAACCTCATGCTTATTCGTGTAGTTAGATCGCGAAAGAACCTTCTCACTGGCCACTTTCCCTTTTTGGCGCGACAATTCCATTTATCAAGCTTTTACAGACAAGGTGTCGTGAGATCTAATGGAAACGGAATGAAAATATGTCCAAGTACTTCACTCCATCATCAATTATTATACTCGTTCAACTAACTAACGCATAGTAATATAACTGATAATCTGATAGTGTTACTGTTTCCACAAATTTCCAAAGACAGAGCCATGAAAGCGAAAACTTTCTGAGCGGTTGTACGGTTTAGTATTACGATAATTCCAGAGAATCCCTTGAGGGTCGACGTATATGAAACTAACTATAAGCTAAAGGGTGGTCTTGCAGAAGGGTCAAGCACATTGGCTTCTATCTAACCCTCAACACACACTTATATCTCCTTTTCTTCCATCTACATTATCTACATATGAAATTCAACTACATTTATGTCTTTCTACATTTCAATTCTGTACTTTTCAAGCTCTTCCTCACTTATACTTTCCATGCATTTACGTTTATCTGCCAACTCTTTTAACACATTCTTTTACAAAACATAACTGGTTCATTTAATGCATCAGGTTTAACGTGATCAAATATTCATGCCTTTTCAGTTACTGATTAATAAATATCTTATTGAATTTTTTTTTAATATTTCAATAAATTGGAGATCATCAAACGTCACAATAAATTGAAATTAATTTATTCTTCTACCAAAATTGTTCTCTCTGGGATATAATATTTAACGCTTGTAGGGTCACAGTTATTTAATATTATTGGCAATCCCAAGTTTAGTTGCATGTTGTGGCACCGTTGACACGACTATGACTGTTGACGGTAGATTATTAGCTATTATGGATAATTTTGTAGCTAAACAAGCTTAAGTTGCGTATGTAGTGGAACGCGGTTAATAAACGGCAGAACGGCTAGTTCGCACGTGTGCCTATAAGTAAAAAGCGACTGGTCGTATATAGTATCGTTGTAGATTATATTTGTATGAATAACACGGTAGGCTGGCATTTGTGTGTGATAGGCCGACGACTATCATACGTTGATCAGTGGGTGGAGTTGATATGAGTAGCAATACGCCTACAAATCATATTTTTTTAGACTGTGTATTTTCATTATTTTACAAAAGAGAAAAAAATATGTGAAAGACCATCACACATTCCTTTATATCTAAAAATTCTTGATATTAGAATCTAAAAATATGAATTTATTGAGTTTCTTTGATCTTTCTAATTCATTAGACCATACTAAAATTAGAAAAAAAAAGTGTTTTCGACTGTCTAGCATAACAGCTGATTTTTATTTCACTATTTCAAAAAGAAACATTTATTTTCGACGATCAAAAGTCTCAGCCAGGTGTAAGAAATTGTCTTGTAGAGAATGCATTATGTATGGAAATGCTTTGTATAGGATATTGAAACGATGCGTACACGCTTTGCCACACTTTCAAGAATCTCCCTATGGGAATTGTATAGAAATGCAGCGGTCACAATTGTCTCCTTCTTTTCTTAGTTTTACTGTTCTTTCTTTCTCTCCAGTGAACCTCGAAGAATGTAAAAGAAGCCGTGACTCGCTTATGCTCTATTTTTTATCTCTTTTTCTTTATTCCTTTAAATTTTTGTGAGCTTCACTCTCAGTTTAAACGTCGCAAAAGTGAGCCTTCCTGTCGATTCTTTATCCTTCTCCTCCTAGTGGAACCAATCTCGCGTTTATCGATCAAAATCAGATGAACATCCTCAAGCGAAAAATCGGAGCTTAAGGAAATGTCACGTCCAGATAAAAATATGGAGAATAATTTTCTTTAATAATTTATCATTTAATTTCCTGTACGTGGATCATCCTTTTAGCACTTTGATAGATTAAAAAAGATAGTGTATTGTAACAGAAAAAATCAATTTTACTTTATGCCCGGATAGATATCTATTTATTCCTCGAAATCTTTCGCTGATAAGCCAGCATACACAAAGTAGCTGGAAAAAACTTTACTTGAAAGTGGTCGTTTCACTGAGGTACTTAAAAAAATACGACTTCTCAACTGCAGTATCTCAGAAAATTAAAAAAAAGAACAGCTTCGTTATAGGAGTTCTTTACTGATAACATATATAAGGGTACTTTGCTCGCTAGCAAAAGAGAATATTGAAACTTGTGCTCGATTTTAATTTCAAAGTAGGTCAAGTCTTTCCATTCTGCAGATAGTTTATCATATGTTTAATTAGGGAAATCCGACTGCCGTTTTCTTTTTATGAATGAAATGTTAATTATACGATAATTTCTTAACGTTTAATTTCAGTCTCAATTTCAGGATTTCTGGCAGAGAATAAAAAAGATTAAACTTGGACACCCGTTACTGTTATCATATCTATGAAAATCTTTGTACTGACCCCTTTATACACCACTGGTAGATCTTTTTTCAGATAAAATCTTTTGTATATATCT